AAAAAAAAAAACTCGTCTATGTTCTCGCCTTGAACATTTTAAGTTGATTTGGAAGGCAAAAAATTAATCTTTTAGTAGTAACGACAGTGAGAATTGAAAGATATAAAGCAGTTATTAAACTATTACTCCAAATCCTTTTTTTTAAATTTCTGATTGAAAAAAAAGTAACTTATTTTTGAACAAAAAATTAACGTCTTATGAAATTTTAAATCTCCTTAGCAGTACCTGATGCCTTCTTCTACACCAGCTGATCAGCATTTTTTGTTCTTGCTTCTCATATCGTCTCTTTGTTGCAAAATTGGCTCTATAAATTTTACTGAAAATTTGTTAACAAATTTAAATTACTGAGAACATAAATTGTCTTTAGAATGACAAAATTGCCGTAATTTCATCTCGTGATTAACTTTTATGCACACAGACTCTGTTTAATCACTATTCTGATTGCAACTTTTGGGCAGCGTCTTGGGGTTAAGGTGAGAAATAACTTTAGTTATGCAGTAACACAAAAGATGGAGGTGAAGAATAAGAAATCAAACAATTTAACATTGGCTTTTTTGAGATTTTTGCTGACTGGATATTCGCCTAACTTTAACAGTGACTATCTGATAACAGTAAATCCATAAGTGAAAAAAAAAAAGGTAAGCCAATTTTACGAAAAGAAAAACGAAAGCAAAAAAGCATTTAAAACCCCTTTTTTGACTGGTAGTTAAAATTTTTTTGCCAATATTCATCAGTTATTGATAACTGAAAATGGAAAGTTAAAATTTCTTTTTTCTAGCTTTTTTTTCACTTGTCTATTGTCATTACTCCAAACAGTGTTCTTTCAAATTCCTAGAAGACACCACAACTTATTGTATCACTTAGCAGTGTATGATTTAAATCTTATAAAAAATGTTTATTTTATACTGCATAGTATTCAATTTGTTTCCTACCTAATAAAAGAAAATCATTTAATTAATGGAAAAAATTCCTAAAATGTTTAATTATAATTATAAATTTACAGCACGCTACTGCTCATTTGCGTTACTTTTTAAGTATTATTCTTCCCGTTTTTTTGGTTTCACATGTTTTTTTTTTGTTTTGTTGCAGGTTTATGACAACCAAAAATATCTAACAGAAAAGATCTTCTACGTCTAAATGAGCAAATCCTGAAAGCAGAAATTGTAACAAACACTTATTGTTGTTGAAACCACAAACGAAAAACCCAGACATTGAAAGCTGTTGACGGCTACGACGAAAACGGATGATTAAGGAAACTGGACTTTGGAACGGATAAAGCGTAACCTTGAGCATCTGAACGCCAAATCTTCGGTGCAAGCTGCTATCGAGTACTGCTGCTGCTCCTCAAAGCTTCGGAAGAGGAGTTGAGGAAGAAGACAAAGGAGAAGCGTGTTTTGAAAAAAAATGGCTTCTGGGGCGCCAAAAGTACCCATTGTACAGCAGAATGGCACTCCGATCAATCTGACAACCCCGGGGCCTCAGCTGAGGCCTCAGTTTAGACGGCAAGGCTCCAGTTGTTAGTCTTTTGACCTTATTGCATGTAACTTGTTGTTTCTGCTATGGATTTATCACACGGCTATAGTCTTTTAGCCTCGATTAATTGAGTAGTTTAGCTGTAAAAAAACTAGTATATAGATGAAGTGTTCGTTGTGAACAACTGTAAAAGTTTTATCTGTTGGATGAGAAGTTTTAAGGAAAGCTTTATTTGATAAATTTTAAAACGTTAAAGGCAAATAAAATTTGTTGCTTTTTTTTTACATTTTTTTCTTGATGGCTTTCCATTTCAATTGAAGAGAAGAATTTGTTATTGCATTATTTGATTCTGTTAGTTGAGATAAAATATATGAGAAAAAAATAGAGTTCTAAACTTTAAATCCAGAGCCTTTTTGTTTAACTTTGTTTATATTTACGAAGGGATATCCGGAGTCAGTGAGTGAGCTTCTCTAAGTATTTTCCAAAGTTAATTCAACAATTTCTTTTGTTTTCTTTAGATTTGCGTAGTTAATTATTCATTTGCTTGAGAAGATAACTTTTTAATGACAAGTTTAGGATCAGTTGAAATGCTTTTTGCCAACTTTAAAACCAATGTAGGAAAAAAAGAAGGGAAAAGGATGAAGAAAAAGGAAGGGGATAAAATAGAAGAACATTTTAAGCTTTCTTTTAAGCAGTGATAATGCATGGCTGCAGGTTTTCAAAATTTGAGACACTAATCTGAAGTGTTACAGTTGGAGGCGCTGGTTATGTGTCACCGATGGCTGTGATGACAATGCCTACTAAAGTTGACTACAGTGTAACTAAAGGAGGCGTACGGTTATGGGCCGTCTTATTTGTATTTATTTTTCTTTGCTCAAGTCTTTATGCTTTATTTTCAACTAAAGAATTAGCAGAATTGGCTTCTGTTGGTAAGTTAAACATTTTTTTTTGCTTTTATTTTAATTTCAATAGATTTTTTTTTCTACTCAGTGAAAACAACGTTATCAGATAAGAGTTCACTCACGATTATTACTTTTTCAAATACAATAAGGCACAGTACTCGTATATGGATAACTGAACATTTCTGTAACATAAACAATTGCAAAGCAGATATTATTCAGAAAATATGAAGTGTCGTTGACTTGGCTGTCTGGGTAAAATATTCAAATGATTTTGGTTTGACCAATAAGTTCCAAGTCATTTGGACGGACCAAGACAGTTTAAATATTTGAGCAGTCTATTTAGTTAAAAAAAGAAAACGGGATTGGCAAATTGCAACTAAAGTTATAATATATAACGAAATTGATGAAGTGTAGTGAAAGTGTACCGGTGAGATTCATTTGCTGAAGACTACCGGAAGTTCAAGATCTTTTGCGTGTTTAGGATATTGACAGTATTAGTAAGCCACTGTACACAGAAGAATGATCTGATTTCAAAACCAGACAACCTGACAGTAAGTTTAAGAATAAAAAATAACTGTTGT